TTTGAATATAAATTACAAAAAAAACGTCCTCTTGAATTACTCGTAAAAAATATTTTCTACAGAATTTTTTGCTCTATTACATATCACAGATTGATGATCTTCGCCATACACAATCAACACTTATACCTTGTACCACAAAGCGAAATGAATAATAATCTACCGTTTTTGTAATAATTGCATACATTTTGCAGTGCCGAAGTCAACGTCAACTGCGTCCAATAGCCGTGGGAAGCCGTTGTCAAAGACTGGCACGAATAACTTGTTACAGAATTGTTTCAGAAAATTATATGTAGAAGTGTTCATGATCTGTTACTGCGCAACCGATTGTCAACGGCAGGGCTGAAAGTGACATAAATTTTGAACAACACTGGTCTCTCTGGACAAATTGCGTCAAACTTTGTTACCTTAACATATGTAAGCTGGACTCAGAAGAGTCAGGCATCTTATTAAAATAATTTTTTCTTCACTACCAGACAGCAAGTAAAACTAAATGTTATATTGCCAAGGTTTGCAAGGGCTCTTCGGAGACCCAAAAAACTCGTGCCATTATTCCATCAACCACACGAAAATTCTTTGCTAAAATGTTCGTCCCTTTCGTAGCTGTTAACGAATACAAAATTTGTAAACCAGAGAGCTTTTGAGCTCAGGTGACTCATCATAGGTATACATAGTTACAAATCATGAACACTTAAATAAATTGTGATTTCTGAAACAATTTTGAAATAAATGAGTCATCTCAGTTTCTGATAACTGCTTTTTGCACCTTTTAGAACCAGCTGTCGTTCATTCCAGTAGCGCACAATGCATAGGAATACTGTAAAACAGTAAATTACTGCATATGTTGCTTTTGTTTTCAAAAAATAACTCTTAATTTCGTCCACCCAACATCACCAATTGCAATATGTTATAGAGCAGAAAATTTTGGACAAAATATCTTTTTTTTTTTTCACAATATTAAAAAAGTCGTTTTTTTAAATTTTTATTTCAACTTTTTTCTTTTCGTTGTACCTATCCAATTACGCAATTTTAGTAGAATATGTAATGTGTTCAAAAGTAGAAGAGATAGAAAATCTAGTATAAAACGCTTTAAATTCTGACAAATTTGAGTAAAAATATAATTCTCCAAAGACAGGCATTTTAGGCAGCAACTTAACAAAATCATGCAATTTTAGAAATGTTTAACTTGGCGGAAAATCCATTCTTCCAGTTCCGAGCCCAAACTTTACTAAATGGCAAAATTTGAAAAAATTCTATGATATCAAGTGAGAACCACAAAATTTAACAAGTTTTTTGGTTCATTTGGATTGGCCCATAATATTGTTTGGCGATAAGGATGAGAATATAGGCGGATCCAATCCTAATTTGGTTCGAAAGGGAAAATGCTTTCAATGGGAACGATTCCAGCGGAATCGGCAGCGTGCCACTATGTTATATGCAGGCATCTGAAAGATACCGAAGAGACCCCTTAAAAGGTAGGTTAAACTTCTTCGTTAATTGTGTATATAATCACTTTGTTCGCAATTGTCTAATCTGTTTACCGTCCAAATTTCTCCGATCTTGGTTCTGTTTCTGTCGAGATATTAGCAAAAATGTGACAGGATCCTTTCTTTTGATAAGTATTTTTTACCTCCTTTACTAATATAACTTTTGTTTATGTGCGGGAAGATACGTTGTTTTCCATTTTTTCGTAATCTACTTAATGAGGAGATAAAAAATATGTTAAGAAAAATAGCGTAACAGTACTGGCAGATGAGGAAAAACGGTTTGAAATCAGTAATTGAAAACCAAAACTTATCGTTGAGGAAAAAAATTTTAAAAAAATTAAAATATTGATGTAAAAATAATAATTGAAGGGAAAAAATGAAAGAAGGGAAAAATAAGGATATAGTCATTATGGCAGCTTTAGATTCACTGCAAATAATACCAGTTCTGAGTGCAGTAAAATAAGAAATAGTTGAGGTCAAAAAAAAAAAAAAAAAAAAAAAAAA